AGCAATTCACAGCAACGCTTTGCTTTTCATGGTCTAGGTTATGGGGCGCTTTAGAGGTTAACGAGTCATTGGGCAGCCGGGTACGTGGTAAAGGGAAATCGATGGTCTCTCCGCTGCATGTCCCGCCACGTCACATAATCCATCTCAGATATCTGGCACATTCCTTCCCCCTGAGGTATCATCGTGGCCCATGTGGTGGGCTTACCTCCCCAGACAACAACCGTAGATCCTGCTCGGACTGGCCCCGGCTCGACCTTCACCGAAACCAGACGAGGCACCACGAGGCTTCTCCTGCCAGAGTGGCGAGACGGAAGTGCTATCTGATATAAGAACAGCGCCACCTGCAGGAAGGGAGGCCTGCTTCTGATCATAACTACGTAAACAAAAAACGTAAAAAAAAAAGAATGTAAAAAAAAAAAACATGATACAGTAAAATTTGGATTTCAATCCATGCATGTGCTGAATTGTGCTGTTCTTTGTTCCCATTTAAAAAGCTTTAAGCTCACGTAGCTCAGAAATGTTCAAATAAATATCATGCTTCATTTGAATGTAGATGTTCAGAGCTCCTGATAACTGAAACGTCAGTGTTCTTCCATTTTTTTCTTTGCCCAGACATAATCTGTGGAATACGTAAGCAATTTAGGAGCCAAACGGACATTTTGCCTGTAGCAATTAAATCAAAGGTCCAAACAACAGCTCTTATAGACAAAAATTACGACGGGGCCAATCAGCCTTTCATTTGCACCTCCTAATGTGAGCGTGTAGTACAGCCACATTATCGCCGTGCAAACGGAGCCACACGCCGGCTAATTAAAAACATTAATTTAAACCGTCGCCGTGACTGTAGAACGGTGCGCTAAATGGTTCAAAAACCCACATGGCAACACTACGTGATAGCGTCTTCCGGGCCGGAGGCAGGTTTGTGTGTGTGAAACCACGGTAACAGCGGAACCCACAGAACGTGACGAGCGTCCTGGAACTGGACACAGAGTCTGCCGCAGGTGTCATGTGACAGCCTATAGATCTGCAGAATGTGAGCTTTTACCTGCCTGGAAATTTCCACCACATCTTTTTTTCCTTTTCTGTCCTGAATAAATGCATTTGGGGCTTAAATATGAAACTCAGCACAGGTGGAGTTTTTTTTGGAGAAGCGGCACCTCACTGACATGACAACAAACATGGGGGAGGCGGAGAAGGGGGGGGGGCGATAGCGACAGAGCTCATCGTTCTCTCGTTCCTTTTTTAATCAGTAGGACATGCTCGGATGGTCGTCCTGGGGAAGGGTGAAGTCAGGTAACGAACACATTTGTGAATCTCACTCGCACTTTTTATCACCAGTCCTACAAGACTGTCTTCTGTTTTTCTGTCTCTGGCCCAGGACACGCCCCTAGCCCTGATAACCAATCCCACAGCCCATATAACCCTTTCCAAGCTGCCAATGACGTGTTTTGTCAAACCCATACCCAAATAATATCCCCTCCTTTCCCTGTGTCAGTGGTACTCCTTGGCGCCCCCTACCTCCCACAACATGTTACACAACAAGCTTCCCCAAAAGGTGCGAGCAGCTGCTACTAATCAGTTTTTCATCCACCCACATTCATTTTATTCAAAGTGTCAAACATTTATTTTATATTATATATATAATATATTATATTCTGCACATTGTAAGGGGGGGGGGGGTCTCAGTAAAAAGGGTGCTGATTGGTTGCCACAAAACATGCATATGGCTGCCAATGTCGCTGGAAGACGACGGCGGCAGGAACGAGTTCGGAAGCCCATTCTCAGCAGCGGCACCTAGAAACAGCACAGTGGGGGCTCATGGAAGGGAGGGGGGAACCTGACGCTGGGTCAAGTCGCCCGTGACGCCCTCGGACGACAGAGTGAAGCGGCATCAGAGTCGGGAGGGGACCCGCACGGGCTGGTGTGTGGGTCCCGGCGGGCGGGGCATGGCGGGCGGGGCATGGCGGGCGGGGGCCCATCGATCTGCCGGGATGTGCCGCAGTGATTTAGTGCGGCAGAGTGGCAGGGGTGGAGAGCCGCCCGCCGGGACCCGTACGCCGCTCAGCAGACATGACGAACCTCGCCATTAATCGCTTTTAGAGGGTAGCGCTCGTTTGATGAGCCCCCCCCCTCCTCGGGAGTGAGGGCTCCCTTCTAATTGGCAGATCTAAAAGGCAAAGTCACCCCAGGGGCCAGGAGGGGGCGTTTTGTTTGTCCAAAGTCACGGCACCTGATGACGAAGACAAAAGGGGGACAGCAAACAAACAGACCTGAGCGCCCCTCCCCACCCCGCCCCCTGAGGAACAGCCCCCCTCCCCAGCCCGTCCATGAGACGTATTTCACTCTGACTGGGGCCTGGTGGCTGCCGAGGGCGTCCCACACTGTGACGTCACACAAAGCCCATATCAGACACTGAGAATGAGGCTGGGGACTGCGTGACCC